CTTGTTGTTGACGACTACTCGCGTTACACCACAGTCTTCCCCTTGCGCAGCAAGGGTGATGTCACTGAGGTGCTGATCGACTGGATCCACGCAGCTCGTCTCCAGCTCAGGCAGAGCTTTGGCTCGGACTTTCCTGTTCTGCGTCTGCACTCGGACAGAGGCGGAGAGTTTTCTTCTGGCCTTCTGAGAGCCTACTGTCGCGCACGAGGAATCCGCCAGACCTTCACGCTTCCGGACTCCCCGCAGCAAAATGGGATTGCTGAGCACCGCATTGGCATGGTCATGGACGTCACTCGTACGTCTATGATGCATGCGGCTGCTCCCCATTTTCTGTGGCCGTTTGCGGTGAGGTACGCGGCGCATCAGATCAACCTACACCCCAGGGTCTCCAGGCCGGAGACCTCCCCAGCCTTGCTGTGGACGGGGAAGGTTGGCGATGCGTCGGCGTTCCGGGTCTGGGGATCTCGGGCGTTTGTCCGCGACTTGGGGGCGGACAAGCTGTCCCCTCGTTCTGCTCCTTGCGTCTTCCTGGGGTTCCCCCCTTACGCGCCTGGGTGGAAGTTCTACCACCCCACCTCTCGCCATGTTCTGTCCTCCCAGGACTTCACGTTTGACGAGTCGGTCCCCTACTACCGCCTCTTCCCCTACCGCACTCCGTCCCTCCCCCCGCCGCCGCTCTTTCTTGTACCAGGTCCCCCTCCGGTAGACCCCCTCCCCCCTCAGGGTCCGTCCCCTTCAGGTGTGTCCAAGGTAGACGCAGTCGAGCCTGTCGAGGTCACTGGTGACTCTGGTGCTGCTGAGGGTGCTGTTCCTGGGGGTGCTGCGACTGGGGGTGCTGAGCTTGGGGGTGCTGAGCCTGGGAGTGCTGAGCCTGGGGGTGCTAAGACTGGGGGTGCTGAGCCTGGGGGTGCTGAGCTTGGGGGTGTTGAGCCTGGGGGTGCTGCGCCTGGGGTTGCTGAGCCTCGGGGTGCTGAGCCTGGGTGTGCCGAGCCTGGGGGTGCTGAGCTTGGAGTTGCTCCGCCTGGGGGTTGTCCGGGTGCTTCGTCTCTGCGGGAGCCACTCTCTCCACGGGAGCTGCGCGAGTGGTTTGCCCGGCGCTGGAGGCGTGCTGCTGGTGCTGGAGGTTCTTCGGCTACTGAGGGTGCTGCTGTCGCGGGTCCCGGAGGTGCTCGTACTGGGAGTACTGGAGCTGCTGGGCCTGCGGGTTTGACTGGAGCTGGTGCTACTGAGGGTGTAAGAGCTGAGACTACTGCTGGCGGTCCTGCTGCGGGCACTACTGGTACTGCTGGAGGTTCTGGCGCTGCTGGAGGTGCGGCTGGAGTGGGTGCTCCTGCCGGGGGTACTGGTGCTGTACCTGCTGTGTCTGGCATCGCCGCGCGGCCTCGACCGTACTTCGTTCCGCTCCTGCAGCAAGTTCTTGGTCTTCCGCCTTCTACTGGTCCTCCTCCTTCTTTAGCGTGTCCATCGCTAGTCTCGTCACAGTTACAGTTGCAGCCTACCTCCCCTTTGCCTGCTCCTTCTCCCTACACTGGTCCTACTGGAGGTCTTACTGAGCGTTGTGAGCCTGCGTCTCGCCCTGCGTTGCCTGTCCGTGCTGCTCGCGCTAGTGGTCGTGGTTCGTGTCAGCGTCCTCCTCCTGTCCCTGGCACGCACCGGATGTCTCTGCGTCCGTCCACTGCTCCTCTGCGTGCCCCTTTGCCTTCTCCTCCTGAGTCCTCTCTTCCTGCTCTTGCCGACCCGGAGTCGGACTCTCTTCGTGCTGCCAGTCCTACTGTCACGCGTTTCCTGGCTACTGTCGTCACTGACCCTTCTTTCGAGTCCACTGCTGCGTCTGCCCTAGTTGCTGAGCTCGTCTACTTTGCTGCTCGCTGTCGCCTAGACTACGCTACTAGTCTTGTCACTGAGTCTGAGTCTGTCTGTCCTCCGTCCGTCGGGGGTGAGTGTGCCCTTGGCACGGACGTCCTTGAGGACAGGCAGGAGGAGTTCCAGTGCCTGGTAGCTGCTTCACCTCATCTCGTGTCCGTACTGCTTACCCCTGAGGGAGACCCGGATGCACTTGACATCCCAACTCCGCGCTCTTACGCGGAGGCGATAGAGGGTCCCTACTCCTCTCAGTGGCTGGCAGCTATGGATGCAGAGATGGCTTCCTGGAAGTCCACAGGCACCTACGTTGACGCTGTCCCCCCTCCTGGGGCGAACATCGTCAGTGGCATGTGGATCTTCAGGGTGAAGCGGCCGCCGGGTTCTCCGCCTGTCTTCAAGGCGCGTTACGTGGCTCGTGGCTTCAGTCAGCGGCAGGGAGTTGACTACTTTCAGACCTTCTCTCCCACCCCGAAGATGACCACTCTTTGGGTACTGCTGCACGTTGCTGCTCACCGTGACTACGAGCTGCACTCTCTTGACTTCAGCACAGCTTTCTTGCAGGGCAGCCTGCACGAAGAGATCTGGCTGCGCCGCCCACCTGGCTTCACTGGGTCTTTCCCTCCTGGTACCCAGTGGAGTCTCCGGCGTCCAGTCTACGGTCTCCGCCAGGTGCCACGTGAGTGGCACGGCACACTGAGGACTACGCTTGCGGCTCTTGGGTTTGCTCCTTATACTGCCGACCCGTCGCTGTTTCTGCGCACCGACACCTCTCTGCCGCTATTCTACATCCTCGTGTACGTCGACGACTTGGTCTTTGCCACAGCTGAAACTGCTCGACTCGCCTACGTGAAGTCCGAGCTGCAGAAGAGACACACGTGCACAGACCTGGGTGAACCGTGCAGCTACCTTGGCTTGCAGATCACCCGGGACAGAGCACAGTGCACCATTACTCTGACTCAGTCTTATATGGTGCAGCAGGTCCTTCAGCGCTTCGGCTTCACGTACTCCTCGCCTCAGGCCACTCCTCTGCCTACTCGCCACTCGCTCTCAGCTCTGCCTTCGGATGAGTCCGTAGAGTCGAGTGGCCCATATCCAGAGCTTGTTGGCTGCCTCATGTACCTGATGACCTGCACACGACCTGACCTTGCATACCCTCTTAGCATTCTCACACGCTATGTTGCTCCTGGGAGACACCGACCAGAGCACATGGCTGCAGCGAAGAGGGTGTTGCGCTACTTGTGTAGTACGTCGGGCATGGGGCTAGTGCTTGGAGGGCGCAGTCCAGTGGTCCTCATTGGCCACGCGGACGCTTCTTGGGCTGACGACCAGGCTACGCGGCGGTCGTCCCAGGGCTACACCTTCAGCCTTGGTTCCGGCTCTGTTTCGTGGCTGGCTACTCGCTCGTCTTTTGTTCTCGGCTCTAGTTGTGAGGCTGAGATCTACGCCGGGGCCATGGCTGCACAGGAGCTTCGCTGGCTCACCTACCTACTGACCGACCTTGGAGAGTCGCCTCGTTCTCCTCCAGTCCTGTACGTAGACAACAAGGCCATGCTGGCCTTGTGTCGAGAGCAGAGACTGGAGCACAGAACGAAGCACATTGCTCTTCGCTACTTTCTTGCTCGTGAGCTGCAGCAGCGTGGTCAGTTGCGGCTTGCGTACGTGGCCTCTGAGGCCAACACTGCTGATGTCTTCACCAAGGCACTTGCGCCTTGTGATCATCAGCAATTCTGCATGCAGCGAGGTCTTGTGCCTGTCTTGCCTCACTTGCTCACCTCTTGACCTTGCTTGTACTGTTGCATATATATACACCTGCTCTTGCTTGTCTGGTCCTTTATATATATGTACTCCTGCAGGTGAACTGGCCTTGTGGCCTTGAACTTGTGCTCGGAATGTGTGGTGACTTTGTGATCCACCCTGAGCTTGCTTTGCTTTGCTTTGCTTGACTGGTCTTGTGACCCACCCATCACCTCATGTAACACTATTATTCTCATTTATTCTGATTTTACTTACACTTCTGTGTGATTAACACCCGCCTACAATGTAAACCTCCCGTTCCTTTTTTCCCGTTCCCCTGCAGCGATCTCTCTCACAACTACCTCTCAGCCCCCCTGGTGAAACTCCCGCCACTCCTTCCAGCGGACCTGTCCGACAACTACCTGTCGGGTGTTGTGTCCGCACCAAACTGCCAGCGACACATCATCGCTGCCAACTGCTTTGCACCAAGCAAAGCCTGCAGTCCTGAGTTGCAGCGACCCGCAGCACAGTGCATGGCATTCTGTGGCATCTCTCCAACCACTGCTGCCTGTGGTGGTCGTGGCTTGTGCTACCCAGACGGGCCCAGCTTGGTGCCAACGTGCTCGTGTGGTGCGGGATCAGTGCGGTACGGACGAGGCGACTGTGTTCTGCCACCAGGTAAGGAATACCTGTAGTACCTTCTTACGATTTACTTGAGACTATTAAAAACTTATTTCTTTTTTACTAGAGCTGTCTCTGGTGCATTGGTTTGAATTTTCCTCAACACTTGGTTTAAAGCTAGCAACAAAAACAGAGTGGAAAACCTCAGCAAAAACGTGAAAATACATGACTATAGTGAATGTACCGCCAAACCGAACCAAAACAGGTGGGGCCGAGTTGAGCTTCAAAGACTTTGACTCCAAGCGGTAGCAATTTGACCACATATAGCAAACCTCAAACTCCTGGTTCCACATGTTCGGTTCGGTTCGGGTAACTGCCCAGTCGTTACTCGGTTCGAGTTCAATTGCTTCTGAGGTCAGACTTGCAATATAGTGACTGGTTGAACGGACGAAACACTTTTGTGCACCATGCCTTGCCCTTCATAACCCTTTCCTCTACTTATCGTCTTTGCTGCAATCTTTCCGACATTAACTTCAGTAGGTAAGCTTCATCTATTACAAGTGCAACATACACAGAGAGCAGCATATGCTCCTGATTGGCTTAGCAACCACCACCAAAGATTCGTCACTACCTCCTTTGCCCGCGTAACACTGACCACATGATATGTCCTGCTGCACCTCCCTTGCAACTCTGCAGGGCCCACGGTGAACATCCTCCCGCCATTCGCGTTTCTCACCAAGGGCACGAAGAAGGAGACAATGGGGAAGTTCATGGCGAAGCCAATGACCCTGTTTCATTACCAGCGTGGTGTTACCTCGGGATGTGGCTTGGGGTTGGCGTTCAGAGTCAACTTCACCTTCTCTCTCATGCCCCAGTTTGGTACTGCTGGGTCCAATGGCTTTGCACTTGTCATAGCAGCAAAGCCCAAGGTGGGGAAGCCTGCTGGTGTGGGGTACAGTGGATCGGGACTTCGGAGCATAGCCGTTGTCTTTGACACGCTTCCGAATGATGTGGGTGAGCAGCACGTGGGGCTGTGCATCAACGGCACAGAGGAGTGTTTGGTCAAGGAGGTGTCTCCATTCACACTGACCGATGGCGACACATACAAGGTGTGGGTGGACTATGAGCCTGGGGATCCCGGCACCATTCAAGTGTTTCTGGCCGGTTCGAATACAAAGCCAGACGAGCCACTGCTGCTGGGGAGGGTGTCGCTGTGTGCGGTGCTGCAGCCGGGAGTGAAGCACCCGACATTCTCGTTTGGGTTCGTTGCATCCACCACTGTGAAGCCCTTCCAGCGGCTAGGCATCCTCTCCCAAGCTGCACGCCCAAGCTGGTGTCGACCTCTGCGGACGATCGGCTGCACCTCCAGCGCACCCGACCATAAAGTCGGCTTTGCTCAAGTGATGACGGTGGGCTACTCAGATGTCGGGATGTACTTCAGCGTGATCTTTCTGCGCTTCACCATCTACTGAAGACAGGCATATTGCCACTCTATGTGCTTGAGCTTGCCCTTAAACCCGTAAGCCTTTAGTGACCATAATGGCCGACTGGTTTTCCACTCGAAGGATGGAAATCTGCAAGGAGGATTTGGCGTCGGCATGCCTCCTTGCTGGCTTCAGTGGCCGCGGCATTCTCCGACTCGGTCGACGAGAGTGTCGCGCAATTCTTGCTCTAGCTCGCCAATAGATGGTAGCCCCGTCAAAGAAGAACACGTAGCCGCCTGTGCTCGTCCGATTCTGCTTGTCGTTGCATCAATGGTGTCCACGTAGCTGACCAGACACAGCGACTATGATCCGCCACCGAACTCCAGGGCTGTGTCACGGATGTAGGCGAGGTGGGCGAGGCAGCAGTCAACCTCGCGCCAATGCTGATTGCCCCAGCTTGCTGCACGCGAAGGTGATGTCTGGCCTTATCGTCATCGCCGTAAATTACAGCGAGTCGACCTTTTGACAGTACTCCTCTTCCTCAAGGGACTTAGCCTCCTCGTCGTTGAAAGTCAGCGCGTCATAGGCGTTGACAAAGACCAACGTCTTCAGAATTCGACCACCCTGCTCTTCGTCGGCGAAGCAGGTCAACGTAAGTCTGCTGGTGGAGCCACATTCTCCTCGCTAGTCGGTTGCGCACGATCTCCAGCCCAAGGTATTTCTTGACCAGGCTAATCTCGCACAACTCAAAGGTGGCATCAAGCAGCTTCTTCAGCTCCTTCTGTATCGCGGTGCCGCTACTGGCGGCAAGAAGGTCGACAATGTAGACCAGCACCCAGCAGGTCACTTTGTTGTTGCTGACCTTGAAGTAGAGAGCATCGTTAGCCTGAAACTTGTGCAGTCGACATTGGTCAGCACCGCGTTAAGAGCTGAGTACCACAACAGCAACGACTCCTTCAGCCCATACGTGCTCTTCAACAGCTTGCACATTCAGCCTGTCTCGTTGTCGTAGTAGTCTGGCTGGTACATGTACAGCACCATGTTAAGCTTGTTCTGAAGGAATGTGGCCTTCATGTCGAGCTCCACCGGGTGCAGGTCGAGGACAGTGACGATGCTGAGGAAGATTTCCAGCGTGACGTAGCTGCCGACCAGCGCGTACACCTGCGTGAAGCCCTTCACGACCAAGCAAGCCTTTTCATGGGCGACCATGTCGTCAATGTGGTACTTCGTCATCAGCACCCACCCTTTCTTCATGATGTTGATGTCGTGCGGACGCTCGACAAGCTCACATGTGCTATTGGCGATGAGGCTGCCGATGTTCTCATCCATGGCGGCCTTCACCGCCTTGCCCTTCCAGCTCACCAGCACCTCTTTCACCGTCATCGTCGGAATGTCCCAGTGATACTCCAGGTCAGCGCGCACGTCGGGGTCGAGCTCAAGCAGGCCGACATCGGCCTCAGCATCGTCAAGCTGCGTGGTAAAGTCGGCTGGCGGCAGACAAGCATAGTAGCTCAGCCACTCCCGCGGCTTCCGAATTCGACCTGAACATCGCAGTTCAGGTTTCTCGACCAGAATCTTTACCACGCCTCTGTTGGTGGACTCCTCTCCTGCCGACACGTCCCCTTGATTACCGACCGCCTCGTATTCAACAGGCTGCTTCACTAGTGTCTGCCCCTTGACCGACTACTCCCCTCTTGTTGGTTCGCTAGGCGATTTATCTTTCGTCGACAACTCCCATGCGGGCGGTGGTTCTGTTGCTGTCTCTTCTCCACCAGCTCCCCTGACCGCTGCTCTCTTGTCATCAACGGCTGCAGTGTCACATCGGCCACCGGCGATGCAACCGGCCTGCACCACAGGTGACACCTTAAGGCTCCTCTCATTGCCACTGGCCAAAAACGGCGTCAATGCAGACATGTTGGCGACAAGGGGTGGAGCAGCAGAAACAAGGGGAGGAGGAGGGGGTTGGGCAGACTGGCTTCACCCATACATACCGCGTCTTGCGATTCTTGAGCAGAAGGAATTACAAGTTGTCGTCCTTGGTGGCCACTCGGAACATCCCGCACAGGTCGATGTGCATGACGGCCAAGGCTTCGTCGGCATTTGAGCCCTTGTCCGAGAATGTGTGCCACGCCTGCTTCCCGCCGACCCATGAGACACAAGGCAAGTCAGTCCCGGTCGACGGCTTGATATCAATGCCGGCGGTTACTTCATGCTTTGCCCAAACTCTTGATCATGTCGACACCGACATGCGTGAACACAACAAGCAGTAAGAACGCTACGATCACCTACACAACCTCGTGCCCTCCATCGTAGTCCACTACCATTGTAGGGTGAGTCTCCGCAAGCAGCGCCAGGTACAAAATGTATGCACGATGATGAGCATTTCTTTGTCGTGTACAGGGTAGTTTCGCTCGGGTGGCTGCATTTTGCGTGACTCGTACGTGATTGGTTGCAGTCAGTTGCCGATGGCGAAATTGTTGGCGTCCGTGACAACTTCGAATGGTCGAGATGGATCTACCAGCCGAAGTACCGGGGGCGAATTCAGAATTCTTTTGAGCTCGTCGAGGGCCAACTTCTCTCTCCCCCAACAGAAACAACGCGCCTTTGTGTAGAAGGTTGGTTAACGACTTGGTCGCCCCCACCATATTTAGTACAAAATGGCGGACGTAGTTAACGAAGCCGGGAAACTCTGCAACTCCGTGATGTTCGTAGGCAACTTCTAATGTAAAACTGTGACACTTTGCGAGGGTCTTTTTTTATACCCTCCCTTGAAACCACATGCCCCAAGAACTCCAGCTTCGGCTGTAAGAACTCACACTTAGAGCCCTTGGTAATCAGTCAGTTCTGTTGCAAGCGCCAGAACACCTCCTCCAAATCTTGTAAATGGTATTCCCGAGTCTTGATGTACACCCAGGTGTCGTCCAGGTAAACTATGAACCTTTTTATCGAGTATCTCCCAGAACACCCCGTTCATGGGATGTTGGAACGTTAACGGTGCGTTCGTGAACCCGAACAGCATCACTGTATACTTGTGACTGCCGTAGCGTGTGCAAAATGCAATCTTTGGGCAGTCGTCTGCGAACACATGAATTTTATGGTGGCCACATCGCAAAACGATCTTCGAGAAATAGCGAGCCCAGCGTAGTAGATCTAGCAGGTCGTCCGATCGCGAAATCGGGTAACGTGACTTGATGGTGATCCGATCCAGCGCTCGGTAATTGATACACATGCACAGGCCTCCGTCCTTCTTCGGTGTGCATAGTATCGGGGCGGCGAATATTGACGTGTTCGGCCGGATAAATCCCTTCGAGGGCATATAATCCACTTTATTCGTCTGGTTCCGGTCGATAGCCTATATCTGTCAAACATTATATATGTTGTGCTTGTTTAGGCTACAGTGGGTTAGCCTATAGGGGGTACACAATTCTAGGGTTAGGTACTTGTACTGATTTCACTGTTAGTTCATTTTCCTGTTCATTCATTTCAACATGGTATAGAGCAGATCCTTCCTAGGACCGATTTTTAGGGCCCACCACTACCTACCTACCTACCTACCTGCGCCCTAGGGCGCCTCGGTTTTCACGGCCCTCTACGGCCCCGCGACCCGCGATCGCCCTTAGCGGCCCCTTACGGCCCCGCGCTCGCCCCTAGAGGCCCTGAACGGTCCCGCGCTCGCCCTTAGCAGGCCCCTTACGGCCCCGCGCTCGCCCCTAGAGGCCCCGAACGGCCCCGCGCTCGCTCTTAGCAGGCCCCTTACGGCCCCGCGCTCGCCCCTAGAGGCCCCGATCGGCCCCGCGCTCGCCCTTGGCGGCCCCTTACGGCCCCGCGCTCGCCCCTAGAGGCCCCGAACGCCCCCCCCCCCCCCCCCCCCCCCCCCCCCCCCCCCAGAACGAGCTGCCCGACCTGAGCAGCCCGAACCGAGCCACCCTGCCCGAACCGAGCCGCCCGAACCGAGCCGCCCAGCCCGAACCGAGCCGCCCAGCCCAAACCGAGCCGCGCCGCCCGAACCTAGCCGCGCCGCCCTTCCCGAGCCGCGCCGCCCTACCTGAACCGAGCCGCGCCGCCCGTACTGGACCGAGCCGCCCTACCTTAGTCGCACTGCCTACTGTTTTTGGGGTGCCCCTACTGCTATTACTCCTACTACTGCTATGGCTAGCCCTCCTGTGCTGGCTTTCGATGCTGAGGGCCGCCCAGTGAAGTTCGAAACCTGGCTAGATGACCTACACCTCTTCCTATAGCTCACTGCGAAGGAGGACATCTCACTGTACGATCACGCCCTAGACCATGCTCCTGCTCCTGCTGCTACTGCTGACAGCACTGCCCGCTCACAGTGGCAGACTCGTGACGCCCACGCTCGCTTCGCTATTCGCAACTCCCTGCCGATAGATAAGCGCGAGCACTTTGGGCAGCACAAGACTGCACAGGCACTGTACACTGCTGTCGTTGCCCGCTACTCCTCACCGGCCTCTGCTGCACTAGGCCGTCTCTCTCTTCCCTACCTGTTCCCCGACTTAGCCTCTTTCCACACAGTCGCTGACCTCATTACGCACCTCCGCACTAGTGAGGCTCGCTTCCGCGCTGCCATGCCTGATGAGTTCCTTGCCAAGAACCCACCCCCACTCTGGCTCACTCTCTACCACCTTGTCACCCGCCTCCCTGGCACTCTGCGCTCTATCAGGGACCACTTCCTAGCTCGCTGCCCCACTGAGCTCACCATTGCCCTCCTCGAGAAGGAACTCCTTGCAGCTGAGGCTAGCATAGTCGCTGTAGGTGCCTCTCGTGGCGACCCCCGTACCCCGTTCTTTGAGGGGTGTTCTCCTTCCCCCCTTCTTCCCTCTGTCGCCTCTGCTGCTGCTGTCGACCTCCTTGGTGCTGAGAAGGTCGGGACTGCGTCTGCTTCGAGCGGGCGCCACAGCGGAAAGGGCAAAGGGGGCAAGGGCGGTGGCGGTGACAGCGGGGGAGGCGCTGGTGGGGGCGGTGGTGGCGGTGGGGGTGGTGGCGCGACTGGAGGGGCTAGTGGCAGCGGTGGGGGTGGTGGCGGCAGCGGCGGGGGAGATGGCAGGGGCGGAGGCGGTGGTGGGGGTGGCGGTGGACGCGGCGGCGGCAG